CGTTCCCTCGCTCTACCTCATTCAAAATAAATACACTTTAAAAAATGCTTAAATAGGTAAATCTAAATATTTACTGTATAAAATGTTAATAATGCCTTCTGGGCATTTATAGAAATAAAAATGCAACAAGGCAGCAGGGGTATAAATGGAGTTAAAGTGTTAGGGCCAGTAGAAAAATTTATATATGACTTCAAGGATATGTGCTGTAATGTCTAGGCAGTTACAAAAAAATAAAATAATGTATAAAAAGATAATGGGAGAACATAGAATAATGAAAATACAAAAAAAGCAAGGAGAGAAAATGAAACAGACCAAGCAAGAAAAAATAAATACTAAGTAATTACAGAAAATATAACTGGACTAAACATTCCAGTTAAAAGAAAAATTGTTAGACTCAAAAAAAAAAGAAAGAAAAAAGAAATCCAACCATATTCTGCTAACAAGAGACATATCTTAATGATAAGAATTCAGGAATGATTAAATTAAAAGAGTAGACAAAAATATGCCAGACAAATGCCAGTCAAAAGAAAGCTGGTCTAATTATAGAAATAGCTGACAAAGTAGTCAGGGTAACAAGAAGCATTTAGAAGGACTTTAAGTCCTTGTGATTTATAAGCAAAGTTGCCATTGTAGTAGCGAAAAGATGAATTAAATGAGTGATACTGATATCCATGTAAGAAGTAAGTCTTAACCTCTACCTCTCATTGTACCTAAATTTGAATCCAGAAATAGATTGATAGGTACCTGCCTTATGACCAAAGTTGCAACTATGGAGAAGTGGTAAAGGGCATTCTTCAGTAAGTGAAACTTACATCTTAAACCTACCATATAAATACCTTATACCTTACCTAGTAACTTCTACCTACTTTACAGTATGCATTAAAAAAGGCAGTTCTGTGTGGATGGTGGTGCCACAAATATTTTGCAAGATACCATAAGCTAGTATTTCTATGCACTTGGAGTAGGAAACTGTTTCTTTAACGGGATGTATACATACGCACACATGCACGCGTGCACACACACACACACACACCCTACCACATCTTCCTTATCCATTTGTCTGTTGATGGACGCTTAACTGGCTCTGTATCTTGACTATTGCAAATAATGCTGTTATGAACCGGGATGCATATTATCTTTTAGTATTTTTATTTTCTTTAGGTAAATAACTAGTAGTAAAATTATTAGATCATATGGTATTTCCGTTTTTAGTTTTTTGAGAATTTTATCTATTCTTACTCATGCAGGAGGGAACTAAGCCTCATCTGAATTAACAGATGGATTAATTTACTACATACAGTGTTAATAATATATTTTTGTATTCTGTAATAAGATGTGGAATTTCTCATTTATTTTGATGGCATTTTTTTAGCTGCCATATATTTTAGCTGTTTTCAATAAAATTATACTCTTATGATAATTCTTTTCTCTATCTTAAATTATAACATCTGTATCTTACATATTTCTTTCTTTGGGCATTTGAAGAAATAACATAAGACTTTTTTTTCTTAAATTTCTTCTTGTTTTTGGTGAATTTCTACCTAAACTAAAATTCTGCTGTGCACAGTTGGATATCCACATACAAAAGAATGAAATTGAACCCCTGCCTCATACCATATATAAAATCTGACTGAAAATAGATCCTTCACCTAAATTATGAGGTACAAAACTAAAGCTCTTAGAAGAAAACATAGGGCTAAATCTTGATCGCCTTGGGCTTGGCAGTGGATTCTTAGATATGACACCAAAAGCTCAGACAACAAAAGAAAAAAAAAGCTAGTGGTATATATATACAATGGAGTATTACTTGGCAATCAAAAAGAATGAGATCTTGCCATTTGCAACCACATGGATGGAACTAGAGGGTATCATGTTAAGCGAAATTAATCAGAGAAAGACAGGTATCATCTGACTTCACTCATGAGGAATTTAAGGTACAAAACAGATGAACATAAGGGAAGGGAAGCAAAAATAATATAAAAACATAAGACTCTTAAATATAGAGAACAGAAGGTTGCTGGAGGGGTTGTGGGAACGGGGATGGGCTAAATGGGTAAGGGGCATTAAGGAAGACACTTGTTGGGATGAACACTGGGGATTATACATAGGGGATGAATCATTGGAATCTACTCCTGAAATCATTGTTGTACTACATGCTAACTAACTTGGATATAAATTTAAAAAGTAATTAATTTTAAAAAAGGAAAAGCTAAATTGTAATTCATTAAAATTAAGGACTTTTGTGCACTGAAGGGACATTATGAAGAAAGTGAAAGATTTACCACAGAATGGGAGGAAATATTTGCATAAATCCTATATTTGGGATCAGGAATATATAATGGGTTTGGTATTATATATAAAGAGTCATTACAACTCAGCAAAAAGACAGCCTAATCCAAAAATGGGCAAAGGACTAAAATAGACATTTTTCCAAAGGAGATACACAAATGACTAATAAGTACATGACAAGATATTCAACATCATTAATATTAGGGAATTGCAAACCAAAATGACAATGAGCTACTGCTTCACACTCACTAGGATTGTTGTATTAATAATAAAAATGGAAATAACAAGTGTTAACACGGACATGGAGCAATTGGACCCCTCATAACACTCCTGATGTGAATGTAAAATCTTGCAGCTGCTGTGAAAAACAGTTTGGTAGTTCTTCATAAAGTTAAACATGGAATTACTATATGACCCGGCCATTGCTCCTAGATACTTACCCAAAAGAATGGAATACAGATACTCAAATATTTGCATGCAAATGTTCATGATGGCCAAGAGGTGGAAAAAAACCCGGATATCCTTCAACAGATGAATGGGTTGTGCTGTATGCATATAGTGGTTATTACTCAGTCACAAAAAAGAATGAAATGATGATACATACTACATTGAGAATGGACCTTGAAAACACTATGCTATGGGAAATGAGCCAGACACAGAAGGTTACATACTGGATGAGTCCTTGTATTCGAAATGCCCAGAATACATAAATCTGTAGAGACAGAAGGAGGTTGGTGATTGCCAGGGGATGGGTAGAGGAGCAAATGGGGAGTAACTGAATAACGGGAACCAGACTTTTCTTTTGGAGTGATGAGTTTTGGAACTTGAGAAAGGTGGTTGTTATATAACATTGTGAATGTACTAACTGGCACTGAATTTTTCGCTTTAAAATGGTTAATTTTATGTTATATAAATTCCACCTCAATAAAACTAAATAAAACCTCGTACACTGACATCATATATGATAAGTCAGCATACTGTAGTTGATTTAGTCATGGCTGTACCAGGAATGATGAATCTTAGTTTTGTCACCTTTGATTTCCATGAATATTAAGTGTATTCTTTTGTTTTAGAATAGACTACACAGTTTAATTGATTTCAAGCTGTTATTTATGTATCTTAAAAGAAGTATGTTCAGTTAATCAGTGAACTTCTATTTGACCTTCAGTATTTTTCCTGATATTTTATATAAAACATCTTTCTTAATATTTTCTACAAATTTGATTGACTGTTTCAACTGATACAGATGGCTATGTTGGTTTATAGTTAGGATTGGGTGGTATAATTATGTAATTATATGATGCATTGTTTGTTTTGAGGCCATTTAAAATTGGATTTTTGTACCAAATGATGATCATGGTTTTAATAGACTAAGCTGTATTTTCAAATGATCCAAGGAAACTATACATAAATAGTAAAACTGAAACAATGGTAGTTTGTATTTTCATTATTATTAAATTAAATCTCTTATTTTGAATGAGGGGGTTTACCTGTGGCTTGCAGTATTCAAGATTCATAATCAGCAGTTTCCTATTGGTGTGAAATTATTTGTGGTCCTGTGATATTCTTTACGGTCCTGTGACCAAGTAAATTTTGAAAACTACTCAGTATGGCACATAAGAGTTTCTTCTTTTTGCATTATATGTGTTAGACACATTTTTGCTGACTCCTGTATTATCATGAATATCTAGTATGTATGCACCTGTGTCAATTAAAAAAATAACCTCTTTTGCCCACGCCTCCACCCACTTAACCCTCTGGCAACCACCAGTTTGTTCTCTGGAATTTAAGAGTCACATGTCAATTTTAATACTTGTTCTTAGTACCTGAAAGATCAGGAATCAAGTATGTCATTATATATAGTATCATGCCTTTTTGGTGATAAAATTATTTTTATTAACATGGCATAAAACTGTTCCCTGTGTTGTTTATTTCCAGCATATTTTCTTATCTGCTTCATAGGGTTTTTAAGGGTGTTAATAAACTGGAAAAAAATGAAATTGTGTTAATGCATTCCTAGTACAATTATGAGGGTTATAAGTACAAGTCTGTAATTTTCTCTCCTGTGTCTAATCAAGCTATCCTGTTAACATTCTTTGTCATTGTGATCACTTTTAAATAAGTATGTTAAATGTCACTGGTTTCCTATACTTCACTTTCAGAAAGTGGTCTGGATTTGAATATAGATAATATTACTTTCTGCTTCGAGTAAAATCATGTGATTGTATTGAGTAGTATACCACCCCTAAAAACAAAGGATGCTGGGAAGACAGGAAAAACCGGGCATTATTTGTTTCTCAGAAGCTTACGAGTGGTCCCCCTTCTTACCAAACTAAACTTAATTTTTTTTTTTTTTCCCTTTGAGAGTGCAAGCAGGGGAGGGGCAGAGGGAATGGGAGGGAGAGAATCCCAAGTAGGCTCCATGCTCAACATGGAGCCCCACAGATCCATCCTGCCACTGTGAGATCATGACCAGAGCTGAAATCAAGAGTTGGATGCTCAACTGACTGAGCCACCAAAGGGTGCCCCCAAAATAAGCTCTTTTAGGTATTTAATCTTACTAAGTTATAACTTTAAAACATTGTACACTTATACAAATAATGTCTCTCTTTCTATTTCACATGTTTCCAGCCTGACATTAACTTTAGGAAATAGAAAAACCTAAATAATTTTGATTGTTAATAACTTATTAAATATTTTTAAATAATCAGATGAAAAATCAGTCTTGGAGCAGAAACCTTCTAAGCCAGCTGCTCCGCAGGTCCCACCCAAGAAGCCCACTCCACCCACCAAAGCCAATAATTTATTGAGATCTCCTGGAACCGTGTACCCAAAGCGACCTGAAAAACCAGTTCCTCCACCACCTCCCACAGCCAAGTAAGTTTTACCTAATTTTAAGTTATACCTGATTATTTTTACTAATTTACTTTATCTCAAGTTTATTGATTACCTGCTTTTCTGAATCTCAGAATCATTTCTAAAGTATTTGTTTTCCATATTTTTTCTGTAGACTGTGATGGTTCTCTGTTAACTTTATATTCATACTAGGTGAATACACACAGATGAGGCTGTTTTTACATTTCTGATTTTATTGTGATTAGTCTTAATGTGGAGATTTATGTTTATGGAAATAATATTGTGGAACAAAGAGAAAAATTACTATTATGCTATAATATCCTTAGTGTCGTTAATTCATAATTTAAAAAAATGGTTATGATTCATATACAAGTGATTTCTACATATGTTTTGATTTTCTCATTTCAGGATTAATGGGGAAGTTTCTACCATTTCGTCAAAATTTGAAACTGAGCCAGTATCAAAACCAAAGCTAGATTCTGAACAGTTACCACTTAGACCCAAATCAGTAGACCTAGATTCATTTACAATTAGGAGCTCTAAAGAAACAGGTAAGTTAACATGTAGAAAGGTGGTACATTTAAAAAAAGTTGCCAATACAATTTTCAGAAACTATTTAAGAAATTTGTGCATGCATTTTATATCTGCATAGATATAGTGGAAATTAATTAAAATTTATTTAAAATCTATGAAGCTGGAATAGAAAAATAAAACTAAAAGAAGGTAAATGGGCAAAAATACTTGATTCACATAAGGACTGAGAAATGGATTAAAAGATAATCCATTTATCATTCTGTCCCCTCATGATGGAATGTCTGTACTATCTAACTTAGGCAGATAGGAATACATTTTAGTTTGAAAAATTAAGAATAAAGAGATCACATTGATTTTTAATGCCAACACTAGATTACATTGAAGATTATTTTTACTTCTTCACTTTATCTCAAGGTACTTTTGTTTCCAGTTCAGGAAAATATGCTTTTTATATCTGTGTGTATGCGTGTGTGCGTGTATCAGCAGGCTTTACTTCCTTAGCTAAATGTTGTTCCTTAAGTTTTAGGACAGATTTTTACAACCCATCATTTTTGTCTCCTGGTCTTTTATACCTCTTAGTTGTAAAATGGAAAACTTGGAACACAGAAGTTTTGATAAAGGTCTCAGTATTAAAACATTGCACAATCATTTGTGGTAATAGTTATTATGTAGTACTTTGCATTTATTTTTAGTTCTTTTACATTTTCCAAGCACTTTCTCATTTATATTCTTATTTTATCTTTATAGTTATTCCAAAAGGCAGATGCTATTTTGTGTCTAAAGTCATCAAACTATTGGACACATTACATGTCCAAGATCATGTAAATCAGAAGAGAATTCTTTAAATCCCCTAAAGTGCTCATGATATTCTTTTAAAAGTTTTAATTTCTTAATATATTTTTTAGCCTTCAAGTTAACATTTCATAAATACATTCAGACTTAAAGGTCAATTACGCTTAGATTTTTTTTGTCACTATATTGTAAGATATGCTGCTTACTAACCTTTTGAAAATTGTAGGTGATCTTACTATTTTTCCATATTGTCATTTGCCAATGTAAAAGCTCTGACCTGTGCATGGCCTCCCTCAGTTTTTTTAATTTGAACGTTTTATAAAGATCCTTTCATTCTATATTTGGCTCCTGCCTGCTCTGACTGAAACCATATTCATTAATAATTTCTGGAAAGTGGTGAGATGTTGATTATACTTTAGAGATATTCACTCAAATATATTTAGTGTGTTTTATCTGGTAAAAATTGTTTACCGTTGGTGAAATAAAAACAAAAATAAAAATCCTCTTTATAACAGGTTTTTAAAAAATATCCTTTATTTTTTTATTGAAGTCAGTAGTAAAAAAATAACTCTATCAGCTTTTACTGTTTTCTCTTTGATTTAAAATGTTACTGAAAATATGTTTTCAAAAATAATATTTCAGCAAAAAAGATTAAGTGTGCACACTTTTAAATTAAATTTTTATATAAAAGAATCCATTTGTATCGTCTTTTGAAATTCTACAGTTTTCTGCAGTCTTTATCACAGAGGCCTTACATTTTGAGGAGTCTCTTCAGGAGCTGAAAGAGTAATATTTAGAGCCTGTATTTTCTGTATTTTTCTGTTGCTTTATAACATTCTTGGCTATTTGCTTTATTTAGTTGTCTCAAGGTTATGGAAACTATTAAAAACTTAAGTAAATTAAGATAAATTTTTGTCTTTTAAAAAACTTTTCTATATATGATCACCAGCAAGCTTTGTTTCCTTTGCTACATTTTTAGTAGAAATAACACATGTAGTAATGTCAAACTGTTGGTGGTTATATAGTTTAATTTTTTTTTTTATTGCTTTTGGTCCAAATCTTTTCTTTTATCCATAGCCATTATTTACTCTTCATTAAAAAACAAAGAGGCTTTGTGAAAGAGGGTTTGCAAATTCCTATTTTTTTTTTCTTCAAATGAATAAGGAAGTAAGTTAGAGGAGCCAAGACGTATGTAAGGACAGAAGACTAAAATCTGACTTCTAAACTGTTGTACTTCATTCCCCCCACGATCAGGCTGCCTTTGGTACTACACCTAATACCCAGTTAAGTTCAGAAAATACACAGACACACCACAGAGATATTGATGGTTCCATTCCAGACCATGCAATACAACGAATATTGCAGTAAAGCAAATTGGATGAATTTTTTAGTTTCCCAGTGCCTTTGAAAGTTATGTTTACACTATACTGTAGTCTATTAAGTGTGCAATGCAGTATGACTAAAAAAATGTGTATACTTTAACTAAAAAATACTTTAGCTAAAAAATGCTAACCATCATCTGAGCTTTGAGCATGTTACAACCTTTTTGCTGGTGGAGGGTCCTGCCTTGATGTTGATGTCCGCTGACTGATCAGGGTGGTGGCTGATGGGGGTTGAGGTGGCTGTGGCAATTTCTATAATAAGACAACAGTGAAGTTTGCTACAGCGATTGACTCTCCCTTTCATGAACAGTTTCTTTGTAGCCTGTGATGCTGTTTGATGGCATTTTACCTAGAGTAGAACTTTTTTCCAAATTGGAGTCTGTCCTCTCAGACCCTGCCTCTGCTTTATCAACTAAGTTTATCTGCTATTCTGTATGTTTTCTTGTCATTTCAATAATTTTCATAGCATCTTCACCAGGAATAGTTTCCACCTCAGAAAACCATTTTCTTTGCTCATGAATGAAGTTTTATCATGGATTTGCAGCAATTCAGTTCCATCTTCAGACTCCACTTGATTCTAGTTCTTTTGCTGTTTCCACCACATCTGCAGTTACTTCCTCCTCTGAAATCTTGAACCCCTCAAAGTACTAATCCATGAGAGTTGGAATCAACATCTTCCAAACTCCTGTTAATGCTGGTAGTTTTACCTCTCCCATGAATCCTGAATGTTACTATTGGCATCTAGAATCATAAATCCTTTCCAGAAGGTTTTTAATTTATTTTGTCCAAAGCCATCAGAGGAATCACCATCCATGGCAGCTATAGTCTTATGAAGCCTTTTCCTTAGATAATAAGACTTGAAAGTTGGAAGAAATTCAGAATTAGTCCTTGATCCTTGGGCTACAGAATGGATGTTATATTAGCAGGCATGAAATCAGCATTAATCTTGTTGTACATCTCCATCAGAGCTCTTGGGGAAGTAACAAGGTACATTGTCAATGAGCAGTAACACTTTGAAAAGAATCTTTTTTTCTGAGCAGGTCTCAACAGTGGGATTAAAATATTCAGTAAACCATGTTGTAAATAAATGTGTTGCTGTCCTTTTTTTGTTTCATTTATAGAGCACAGATTTAGCATAATTTTTTTTTTTTTCAGTTTATTTATGTTGAGAGAGAGAGAGCCCACACATGGCAGGGGAAGGGCAGAGAGAGAGAGAGGGAGGGAGGGAGGGAGGGAGGGAGGGAGGGAGTCAGTCAGTCAGTCCCTAGCAGGCTGTGTTCTGTCAGTGCAGAGCCCATCATTGGGCTCCATCCCACGAACTGCAAAGTCCTGACCTGAGCTGAACTCAAAGAGTCGGGCCCTTATCTGACTGAGCCAACTAACCAACCCAGATTTAGCATAATTCTTAAGGGCCTGAGGAATTTCAAAATGGTAAATGAGCCCTGACTTCAGCTTCAAGTCACCAGCTGCATTAGCCCCAACAAGTGTGTCAGCCTGTCCTTTAAAGCTTTGAGCCCAGACATTGATTTCTCCTCTCTAGCTATGAAAGTTCCAAATGGCATCTTCTCCCAATACAAGGCTGTTCCATCTACATTGAAAATCTGTTGTTTAGTGAACCACCTTCATTAATTAGCTACATCTTCTGTATAATTTGCTGCAGCTTCTACCTCAGCACTTGCTGCTTTGCCTGCAGTCTTTTTTCATGGAGACGGCTTCTTTCCTTAAACCTCAGGAACCAACTTCTGCTAGCTTCAGGACTTTTTTCCTGCTGCTTTCTCACCCCTCTCAGCCTTCCCAGAATTGAAGAATTAGGGCCTTGCTCTGGACTAGGCTTTGGTTTAAGGGAATGTTGTGGCTGATTTTCTATCCAGATCACTAAAACTTTCTCCCTATCAGCAATAAGTCTGTTTGCTTTTTTCTCATTTATGTATTCATTAGAGTAACACTTAATTTCCTTCATGAACTTTTCCTTTGCGTTTGCAGTTTGGCTAGGTGGCATAATTGGCCTAGCTTTTGGCCTGTCTCGTCTTTCTGCATGCTTTCCTCACTTAGCTTAATCATTTCTAGCTTTTGACTGAAAGTGAGATATGTGTGGCTCTTCATTTTACTCCAACACTTGGAGGCCTGTAGGGTTATTAATTGCCGCATTTCGGTGTCTCAGAGAATAGGGAAGCTCAAAGAGAGGGAGAGAGATGGGAAACAGCTTTCCATGGAGCAGTCAGAACACACATACCACTTACGGATTCAGTTCAACATCTTATGTAGGCACAGTTCATTACAGATAAAATAGTAACACCAAAGATCACTGATCACAGATCACCATAACAAATACAATAGTAATGAGAAAGTTTGAAATAGTGCGAGAATTACTAAAATATGACATGGAAACTCAGGAAATACTGTTGGAAAAATGACACCGATACACTTGCTCAACACAGGGCCACCACCAACCTTCAATTTGTAAAAAAAATGTAGTATCTGCACAGTGCAGTAAAATGAGATACGCCTGTAAATTTTGGAAATTTTGTTTATATTACATAGAAAATATTTACTGAGCAAGTATACCCAGGTATTATTTTAGTCACAAGTACTATTCTAAGACAAAAGGCCTGGCTGCTGATAACATACAGCTCATGTTTCAAACTTCAACTCCGGCTGTTCCTCATTGCCTTTTTTTATTGGAATGTTATGTTTTTAGTATTTGTAGCATAAAAGGGTTTGAAATCCTTTTTTTGAGGTATTGACACCTTAAAAAAAATACTGTTATGCATCAGATAACTTCAGATTTGGCAGTAGGTTTAGATATATTTTAATTTATATTTTTGGCTCAGTTTGAGGTTTCATATCTTTAAAATGGTATGTGAAACTTGACCTTTCACATGTTTCAGAAAGTTTAAAACATACATGAAGATCTTCTTAGAATCTCATTATTACATAAAATAATTTCAGGTGATGATATAGTAATAAGGACCCTGACTTTGCTGTTAAAAATGGGGGTTTTAAATTATCAACTCATTGATCTTGTTTCTTAATCTGTTTTCTAGCTTAAGTAACAATTGGTCCAACGTATCTACTAGAATATGTGATGTGGAAGTTGTTATAAAGTGTTATTTCCATTCTTTTCCTTTCCTCTGTTAATCCTGTTTCCTGTTTCTGCTCTCATCTGTAGAGGATGTAAATCTGTAACACTCCTCTCAGATATGACTTTCCTGTATATGAAGCCATTTGTAAACTATTTTAAAAATAAACGTCCTTCAGTATATATTCTCACATATAAGGTAGTACTATAAATATTGCATAGTTGTTAGAACCATGTTTTAATTTTTCCCCTCTTTTTCAAGCACTTCATCAAAAATTAGTTTAGAATAATCTCACTGCTACCACTGGTTAATTATAAAGTTCACATGGTCTAAATATTTCTAAAGTAGTAAGCTTTCTGGGACATAACATTGATTTAAAAATTAGTCTTAAAATATAAGATAGAAAATTTAGTGGTAACATACCTATTACAGTGAGAAAGCACAGCTAATGAAGTATGCTTATAGTGTAGTATTTTATCCTTTTTGACTTTCTGTGATAAATTCTTGGGTTAAAAGGAAGTTGTAGAGATGTATAACATTATTTGATCCCAAAGCATTACATTGTTAAATGGTGAAATATTCTTTCTCTTTAGTTTTGCTTGATAATTGATCTATTTTTGTTTGATTGCTTTCCCAGTATTTATTCATAGATTTCTTCCAGAAAGAATTCAAGGTGGAATTTTTCTAAGATGCCTACTTGTTGAGTGGTGCACACTATAAAAAATGAGTCTATATACAAAAACAAAACACACCCAAAAATGTGGAACTTACCTGGAGAATAAGAGCAGAGATTAAAATTATTTTATTATAATAATTTTCTTGATGTTTAAATATTTAGAGATATAGAGAGTATCATATAAAGCATAATTGAAGTTTCATTTATGTATTATGTGATTTTAAATGTTGCATAAGTTGTATCTTTATAGTGATATTTAAAAATACTGTTTGTCCTATTTTTCTTTTATTATACCAGAGAATTAAAATTGCCTTTTTCATTGTAATTACTGTCATACGCTAAAGACTAAAACTTGACTGAAAGGTAGTTTAATTTTAGTTCTAACTATATTAATGAGTTGTTGATATGTTAGCTATCAATTTATTACTCTCACCTCTAATTTTTTACTAAAACTCCTTTTCGAAGCTGTGTTGGTGTTCAGTGAGTAATTTTAAAAAGGCTTCTTTCTACTTAATGGTGTATTGAAATTAATACTAGTCATCGTTTTTTCTTTTGAAAAGACAATAAATCTAAAATCTACCACACATCTTATATAAGTTTAGATAAACTGCAGTAGGTATATGCTAAACATTTAAATGGTTCTATTCATTCTACAGCTGTTCTTTTTTCCTGCTTTGTAAAATAATTTTTTTGGTTTAGTCTTTTTTCTAGACATTCCTATCCTTGACTTTTCTTTCCAGATTTTGTTTCCTAGCCTGTTTGCCATGTTTCCCTTCTTACGTGTCAGGAAATTATCCTACCTTTCTCCATTTTGGTAAGATGACAATTTATAAAAGAAATCAAAACAATATATTCAATATAAATAGGTGGTGCACATTGATTTTTCTTTGTAATTGTACTAAAAGTGTACATGTTTGTCTGTCTATTCTAACCCTTTTGGTTTTCCATTTGAAAATAAAACTGATGTTGGAAAAATTTTCTTGATTAGTGTAAGATATTCTTTTGATAAAAGTTTTTTTTGTAATTGAAAACTGTTAAAGTCCATTTATTTTCTCCCAAAATTTGATATTTCACTTGGACTTTTTAAAATTCCATGTCTTCTTAGACAATATGTAGAAATGTAAATGGCTGGCAGAGTGGCAACGTAATTGCAAGAGTTAAGTGACTATCATGCCTTTCATGCCATGTGTACAGTATAAATCTACTCTTATCACTCTTAGGCAAATTTAAATGTGTTCAAGTAGATCATGAGTCCAAAATGTGCACTATTTTACTAACCTGATGGCTTAAATGGAGGACCTGAGAGAGTTTTAGAATAGTAAAATTATTTGTCTTGGTGTTGTAGCCCCAAACTGGACATATGGAAGGCATTTTTACATGAGCATGGTCTATAATTTTATAGATCTACCTTTTATTTATCCTTTCAGTTTCATTTCTCTTCATTCCTATGTTTTTCTGTTTGTTTCTTTTTCTTTCTGCAAGTTGCTTAAATATGCATTTGAAAATAATCTTCACATGCCAAAATTATTGGATTGTACTTTTCTAGACTTTTGTGTCGGTTGTCAATACTCACATGTATCAGCAGTTTTTTTAATGTTTATTTTTGAAAGAGAGAAAGAGAGAGCATAGGAGTTGAAGAGGGGTTGGGGGGGTGGGGGAGACAGAGGATCCAAAGCGGTCTCTGTGCTGATAGCAGCAAGCCCGATGGAGGGCTGGAACTCATGAACTGTGAGATCATGACCTGAGCTGAAGTCGGTTGGAATGCTCAACCAGGCACCCCTCAGCATTTTTTAACCCTTCAAACCATAGCAAGTTTTTAACATCTTTTAAATATTGGTTTTCTTTATGAAATTTACAAATAAAGTGAAATATTTAAAAATATATTTAAACTCAAGGTCTTTCACATTATATAATGCATTTGCCATTAAAGCCACTGTGTCTCTTATTATGGTTTATTATATTTTATAAGTACATATGAACAATTATCAAGACTCAAGACCAAAATTAAACTCCCTTGATTGCCTCTTGTGATGTATTAACCTCATGACTAGATAGAAGATAGAACACACAAAGTAATCCAGAATGTGAAAATGGAAAAGAATTAACAGATCAACAGATACTTAAATTTGTTATAAAATGCATATTGTCAAACAGTGATACCTTTGTTAACCCTTAAAATTTTTTTCTAAACTAATTACTTTGAATATGAAAATTGATGAATAAGCTTTGAGGGGAGTAATAGTAACTATTTGTAGATGTCTGTTAAGAAATAACAAATCACTGAATTTGGATATTTAAATATTCGAAAGAAAACATTATAAATATCCAGGCAATGGTAATATACAGAATTTTTTCTGTCTTCTAAACCAAAGATAGCTGTTGGCATATCAGTTATCTTGACTGTGATTGATAGCCTTAGTTTGGAATCTAGGATAAAGGAAGATTACATTGACAATGGAAATGTCTGGAGTTATCCTTAGGATACTTGGATCACTTACAGATTTCTAGGCTTCAAAATTAAAGATCACACCTCTTTCAGCAAGGTTTTCTAGATCATCTAGAAAAAGGGAAGATACTATATACCATTGTTTCAGAGATACGAATTACATAGGCTTTAAACCCTGAATCAAAAGTTAACCAGCCTCTGATGGTGGGGAAACATGTGAACCATCCTTGTAGCATTTTTCCTTGATACCCAATTTGCCTTACATTTCTAACTTGTCTTATAGTTCCTAAACATGGTAATGTCTAAGCAGAAGTGTAGTGAACTATGAACAGTTTGAATCCCAGCTACAACATACTGTGCACACACAGACACACACACACACACACACACACACACACACACACACACACACAAAGACTCATTATACTTTCACTTTACATTGAGAAATGCAATTGGAAAGCATACAGTTGAGTCCTTAAAATTTGAATATTAGGATACTACTTGAAATTTAAAACAAATTTTATGTGTTGAGTTTCTGATATATTGTAATCAATTATGAGTTGAAGAAGTAGATTATGCTTTTTTAATTTTTTAAACAAGCAAGACTTAAGATTACAAGCTTTTTTATGATACCACAATTTTGGGTTCAGATTTATATGTTTCAGTAAGAACTTTTGTTGAAGTCTAAGTCTCTATTAGAAACAGGAACTCTATGTTGTTAATAAAGTCTTCTAAAATGTGTTCAGTAAAGAGGATGTTTGTTTCTAAGGGTGAGTGTTGTTTTCCAAATGCATATGAAAAGCACAGGTTAACTTGTGAGTCCTGGTGGTACTCTTTTTAATGTATAGTTTGTTAAAAATCCAGAAACATTCTTTTTTATCTTTTAAAATGTAGTTATCTCTTAGTAGATGTGTTTAATTTTATTCTCCAGATCTTCTAAATTTTGATGACATAGCTTCCTCAGAAAACTTGCTACATCTCACTGCAAATAGGCCGAAAATGCCTGGAAGAAGGTTACCTGGCCGCTTCAATGGTGGACATTCTGTGAGTTACACTTGCTGTTGTAAAACACAAAAGTTTCTAAGAATGATGGAGGATTTATGCCTCCACCAAAGTTTAAAAATCAGGAAGATAGCTGTGATACTTAAGTGGCAAATGGTTGGTTATATTTAGGGAGATATGAGGTTATGTTCATTGCAGAGAGACTTGGAATGGAAGGTTACAGAATCAGGAATAAAGAATTGTCCTGAGACCATAACCACAAAAGCACAGTGTCAAAAGAGGTCAGGGTATCTGTGTAATCTACCCATCTAACAACAATAATTAGAATTGAGTGGTACCTATTCACTTTAGGAAGGAATGAGAACATTTTTTTCCTGTGCGATAGTCAGTGGTTTTTTGGTAGCATTAATGCTGGTATCAAAATGTGTGGCTTCTTTTTATGCTTTCTGGACTTTGCCTGGGATACTGGTAGTGCCTTAATACGCTAGCTCTTAAGCATTACAGTGCTTTTAAATTACTTAAGTAGAGAAAATTTTTGTTGCTAAGAGGCAGGCTATTTTTACCATGAAGACATGCAAGTTTGTTGTTCAGCTTGAAATTACGTACTATCCTGTTAACAATGATGGAATATCTGGAATAGTAGCTGCTACTGCTAAAAACAGTGATAATAGTTACTTAGTTTATTATCCAAATGTTTATTGCCTTTTCCTTTTTTGGTATTTTCTGTTTCTTGATTTAAAAAAATCATTTAGCCAACTCAAAGCCCAGAAAAAATCTTGAAGTTACCAAAAGAAGAAGATAGTGCCAACTTAAAGCCATCTGAATTTAAAAAGGATTCATGCTACTCTCCAAAGGTGAGCTGAATCGTGGCCCAAGATTTATGTAATTTGTAGGATTCTTTGTGAATAGCAAAATTGTGGAATTTAAAGTGTCTTTTCTTTTTTCTTCTTTCCTTTCTTTCTTTATTTTTGGGAGAAAGCACAACAAGGGAGGGGCAGAGAGAGAGGAAGAGAGAGATAATCCCAAATGGGGCTCGAACTCATGGACCATGAGATCGTGACCTGAGCTGAAACCAGGAGTCAGATGCTTAACCAACTGAACCACCCAGGCATCCCTTAAATAGTATTTAAGAAAAAAGTTGTTTCTACCAAGAAATAAAATAATTCCTGCTAAAAAATTGAGTTATGAAAGTCACACTATCCTCTGTAGCTCATTTTGTAGAGGACCTTATTGTAAATGAGTAATATAAATGTTAAATACTTCATACTGTTTTTTAAGGCATAGCTCATCCATCTGTTTCATTTTCTTTTTTTTTTTTTTTAATGTTTATTTATTTTAGAAAGAGTGTAAGCAGGGGAGGTGCAGAGACAGAGAGAGAGGGAGACCCAGAATCCCAAGCAGGCTCCAGGCTCTGAGCTGTCAGCACAGAGCCCGATGCAGGGCTGGAACTCGCAGACCGCGAAATCATGTCCTGAACCTAATTCGAATGCTTAACTGACTGAGCCACCCAGGCGTGCCCATCTGTTTCATTTTCCCATTAAACGTACACTCAGTGTTTCAGAGGCCATCACTTGTTTATTCCTAACCTAGCTTGTTGTTTGGCACCATAATGAGCACTGAATATATCCTGGAATAATGGCAGAATACATGGATTCTTCCATTTATTACATGGTGATAAGACTCTTCTAAACTCTTGTCATTTTTATGTAAGATAGTATTATCACATCCTATACACATCTTAAATTTAAGTTCATGCTTCCTCCTTAAATTCATTCCCGGGCATTTGGCTACTGCTAAAATTTATCAGATACATTTAATCTGATTCTCTCAACTGTCATCATTAGACTGAAATTCTGTTTCATGTTACTTTAGTGAAATACTGCAAGAGCATCAGGCCGTGGATTGATGTTAATGCCTTGCTAAATTGTTCATAATTACTTTTAAGTGAACCTCTTAGGATATGTAATATGGAGGATCAAAACAACACCCTAATGGGGTACAGGGCACCCAGACGGCTCAGGCCGTTAAGCATCCAACTCTTGATTTTGACTCAGTTCATGATCTCATGGTTCATGGGATTGAGCCCTGTGTCGGGTTCTGCACTGACACGACTGCATGGAGCCCGCTTAGGATTCTCTCTCTCACCCTCCCTCTTTCTACCCAACCCTGTTCATGTGTGTATGCGCATTCTCTTGCTCTCTCAAAGTAAATAAACATTAAAAAAAAAACACCCAGCACCTTAAAAATGCTGATATATTCTTGTCTTTAGATGCGCCACCGGGAAAACCATTCGTAAGATAAATCTAATAGATTTTTCTTTTCTTTTCCACTTTTTTGTTCTTTTTATTGATAAAGCCCTTGACATTTCTCACATAAACCCCTAGTGATTGCAAGTTTATTCTTTGGTTGTTTGGTGGTTTTACCAGTTGTGAATATTATCAAACTGATTTTTGAATTTTCAAGTTTATCATTTATCTTGAAGTATTATTTTAATTATCTCCTTGCTATAAAAATTTTTGTGAAAGTTTTATAAATATAAATACAATAAATTAACATTTGCTATTATGTTTTCAGCCATCTGTGTACCCTTCAACACCTTCAAGTGCTTCTAAACCAAATACAGCTGCTTTTTTAACTCCATTGGAAGTCAAAGCTAAAGTAGAATCAGATGATGGGAAAAAAAATCCCTTGGATGAACTTAGAGCTCAGATTATTGAATTGCTGTGCATTGTAGAAGCGCTGAAAAAGGATCATGGGTAAGTAGCCCTTGTTTTCTTTCAATACTACTTACACGTATGTAAAGAATTCTTTCATGTCAAGCAGAGATGTAATCTGCCAAATTTCTGGTATAAGCAAGTATATTTTCAGTGAAATTTTCATTAATAGTACTCTGCAAAAATCTTGAATTTGAAAATTTGTTCTTGTAGCTTGATTGTAGAAAAGGTATAATATGTAGGTATAATTTAAGGGTACAAATTTTCTGGTCAAACAAAGGAGTTAATTAGTCTCAAAAATATTAGGAAAAGTCCTATTTTATTTTATTTTATTTTATTTTATTTTATTTTATTTTTAAATATGAAATTTATTGTCAAATTGGTTTCCATACAACACCCAATGCTCATCCCAACACCAATTGTATTTTAGATCTGGAGTGTATCTATATGTAGATTTACTTTTCAGAGGAACTGGATCACTGTCTCTGCTAGGGTTGAGATTGGTATTTAAATAAAACCAATGAGTTGTGTTTAGGTGATTTCTAAGGCTGTTCTCTTAACTCTGAAACTTTTGGTAATGGCATATGATGAGGTCCTAAGTGAAAGTTAGGGACCGTCTAGAGCCAAAATAAATGTAAAAGGTCACCTCTGATAGCCCCCCTCTCTTCTTTTAACTAAAGAGAGAAAGGTTCAGAGAGATAAAGCTCTTTACCTAAGATTACACAGTTCTTAATTTTTTTTTTTTAACGTTTTATTTATTTTTGAGACAGGGAGAGACAGAGCATGAAGAGGGGAGGGTCAGAGAAAGGGAGACACAGAATCTGAAACAGGCTCCGGGCTCTGAGCTGTCAGCACAGAGCCCGACACGGGGCTTGAACTCACGGACCGTGAGATCATGACCCGAGCCGAAGTCGGCCGCTTAACCGACTGAGCCACCCAGGCGCCCCAAGATTACACGGTTCTTAAAAGGCAGAGCTACAACTCAAATCCATTTTCTGTTGGTTTAGAGATATTTTCTGTAACCATTATTATTTGAATTTTAAAACTTGTTAACATTTTAAACATAATTCTGCAAAGGACCAGTAGGTAAAACGAATCAGAGATCAGCTGATCTAACTGAACTGAGGCTGAGGGCTCAGGTTCTCTTTCCCTATCTCAGCTTCCCTTGTAGCTTCTAAAAGTATTTGATGGAATCTGAAATCTGGAATAAAAGTCATTGCCAGAGCGGCGCCTGGGTGGCTCATTAAGTTGAGTGTCTGACTTCGGCTCAGGTCATGATCTGTTGGTTTGTGAGTTCAAGTCCCCCTGCATTGGGCTGTCTGCTCCCAGCACAGAGCCTACTTCAGATCCTCTGTCTGCCCCCCCTCTGCCCCTCTCCTGCTCACGTGTGTGTGTGTCTGTGTGTGTGCGCGTGCGCGCGCGCGCGGGGGCACCCTTTCTTTCTCTCTCTCTCAAAAATAAAATAAACATAAAAAAAAAGTCATTGCCAGAAACCATGTTACCTCTGAGCTGAATTTACCATTTCTCCCTCAATTCTCATTTGCATTGGGTTGTTTATTAAAAACAATATTGAGATTAACAGTATGACGTATTTATAGTTGCAGAGCACTTTTACAAATGTCTCTTTAGGTAGAAACAAAATACCTTGAATGACTACTTAAATAAACGTACTTATGTGTATATATATTAGAGAGAGTGTGTTTATAATTTGACACATGATAGGCCTTTTCTTGAATCCTTCAGTTTATCTGAGTCCTGCAGATTTTTTTCAGATTCCACAATATACACAGTATAAATCATAAGTTCATTCATCTAGTAAGTATTTATTGAATACCACCCATGTATGAGTTAGAGAACTCTCCTAATTTGTTGATTTTGGCATTTACATTTTTTGATACCAAGTATACTATTTTTAATGAACTAATAATTATGTTTACAAATTGCCTGTAGGGTTTTCTTAATGTTCGTTTATTTTTGAGAGAGAGAGAGAGAGGGAGGGAGGGAGGGAGACACAGAATCCGAAACATGTTGGAAGCTCTGAGCTGTCAGCACAGAGAGACTGGGAGACCATGACCTGAGCCCAAGTCGGATGCTTAACTGACTGAGCCACCCAGGTGCCCTGCCTGTAGGTGTTCTTAAATTAGCTATTGGATGAACAAAATCTTTATGATTTATATATATTTTAAAACATATATATCAGATATTTTAGAAGTCTTTCCAAAGGGCAGATGTTTTCAAAGTCTTGTTTCCTCTGGGAAAATGAAATGGATAGCAGATTTTTTAATATGAAAAATACAGGCATCACAGGATAATGGATAAATACATACTGGTATGTTGATACAACAAAATACTATACAGTGTACAGCAATAAAAAATAAATGGATTACGACTACATATGTCAACATGTAATTAATCTGAAAAAAGTTGAGGGTGGAGAAGGCAAGTCAGAGAGCGACATGCTACAGTATTTACGTAAAGTTTGAAATCAAACAGTAAGTGTGTTGTTTCAAGATATATTCATATATGTGGTAAAATTAGAAAAGAAATAATAAATACTTAAAACTTTTCCTATGAAGGAGAGGGGGAAATAGATTTGAGGGACACTGAGTATCAGAGGTACTGGTGATAATAACTTATTTCTTAAGCTGACTTGGAGTTCCAGGGTTTTTGTTTTATGATTATATCTTTATAGCTTACAAATACATGTAGAGTCTTTATGCATTCAGTATTAAAATCTAAAACGTTTGGAACAAATCATTTAAAAAATTTAAATGATATTGACATGGAAAGATTGACAAATATATTAGTAATTTCTTTCTTTAGTTGAAAAGTTACAGAACAAGATACATAGTTTGATCTGCTCCTGTAAAAAGGAAACAATGTTACATAAAAATTTTATATTATAAATGTGTTTTTAAAAAGAACAATAAAAATGTGAGAGTGGTACTAAATTATCAGATCAAAGAGCAAATAGAATGATGTAACGCTATTACAAATAAAGATAAACAGAGCAGGATAAATATTTTAGGAATAGATCTTCATTTAGATATAAATTAAATGTATAATAAACTCAGAATAATAGAATAATTAGAAAAAGGAAGCATTATTTAATTTAGTGGTAACATTTTGAAATACAAAGTTCATTTTCTATCATATACCAAAATAAACTGTAGATAAATTTGAGTTAAATATTTAAAAAATTATAGTCAGCTGAAACAGTAGAAACTCTCAATATAGTTTTATAATCATTAAAACCACAGAAGAAACTAGTTCAAAACTATATAATTGAAAACTTCCTTTCTTATATATTCTTTCTTAGCATTTTCATGTGTTTCTCAAGCTCATATTTCTATAATACTCTTGAAGATCATTTTCAAGGGGCTGAAAATGTCTGTACTTGTCCATACTTTTTGATTTAGAAATTTGATATATCTGGTATATTAATGATGTTAAATAAAATTCCTATTCTTTCCATCTCCCCAAAACCCAAGTAACCAAACAAAAAAACTTGGATATTTGAGTGTCAAGCAATAGTTATCAGAAATATGATGATTTTAGCAGCACGGAAATATTTTTAAATACTTTGTGAAAAGACACAATATGGAGTATATACTTGCAGCTGTGGAGGGAAAATGACTATAGAAAAAGAAGGAAACACAGAAAAATGAAAACATGAGTTAAAGAGAAAGGATTGTTGGCTAATGTTTTTTTATTGGTTTGGTAATTTTAATGTAATGTTTCATTTGAAAAAATACAGAAAGAGAAATGTACAGGTAATCGTGTTAAATCATTTGCCTTGTACTGTGACATGTTTTGACATTACCAAATCACTTGGGTTTTGTCCAGCCTGGGAAATGCATGATAACTGAATATGGAAAACTGCTTCTAAAGGCCAGTTATTATTTCTTTATTTTATCATGAGCTGCTCTGTATTCACTTAAAAAAAAAATTGCTTTATTGCAGATAGGTTTGCCATGGTATTGCTGAGCTTTTAAGTGTTGGGTTGAACCATTCCAACTAGAGAATTTGAAGTTTTTCTCAATCAGTACGGCTATTTTCTTTAAAAAAGTTCCCCCCATGTTTTGGTCTGTCAGGTAACAGATCCTGTTAGTCAAATATGTTGTTTAAATGAAAGACTTAACAGTAATAAATTGTTTTTAGGAAAGAACTGGAAAAACTACGAAAGGATTTGGAAGAAGAGAAGGCAATGAGAATTAATCTAGAGGTAATTCATTTCTCCTAACATTGAGATAGTAGTCAGCATAAATAAACTAGTCAGCATAAATCACCATCCCAGCTAGGTGATTGATTTCACTACAAATTATGCTATCTTAAGTTGGACACTCCCTGCTGCTTGATAGCCATTTAATTAATCTCTTGTTGACTCCCTGTCACATTCCGTTCATTCATTCAGCAAACACTTTTGAGCAATAACTCTCTTAGGCAGTGCATGAGGCATAAGGTATATATATTCTTAAATAAAACAAACATGATTCTTGCCTCGTAAGTGTGTAGTTCTAGATCTTTTGAACTCAACATTGCTTTCTTGAGCTATTTCTCTCTTTTTTACACAGTTACCTTTTTTCCCCCTTTCTTTTTAAATGTTTCCATTTTTATTTTTTGCCTGGAGGCAAGGGTGGAGGGGGGTAGGGGTGATAATGGGATGGCTCTAGATTTGTTGACTTTGATTTCTTCACTGAGAGTTCACTTCATAACCATAATGTTAACATCTTCACTCTGTGCTGATGACCGACAATTTCATTTATTTTATCTTAACTTTTTTTCCATCCTCACTGACTTTGGTCTTCATTTGTATACTTCTTTTCTGCATATTTCAAAGAAAGCCTATTCTGCCTTTTTTCAAAGGCTCTTCCCATTCTGTATTTAAGTATTTCATACGCTTCCCTGTTTTTACCTATTTCTGTTGTTAACATTGTGAAACAGAACATGGGACTTGCAAAGAAAAACTTGAGCTCCTCTTCTGACTTACAGTTGTGACTTTCAGGTCTAAACTATGTGTCAGGTTGGCACCTTCTGTACATTATTAATGGACACACATATCAACTTGTAAGGATTATTGTTCCTGTTTTAAGGATGAGGAAACTAGGGTTTAGAGTGATTTAAGTCAGCAGTGGAGCTGAAATCTTTAAAAGAAACAGCTAGACTTCGGAAACTTTGCTTTTAGGGATTAAGTTATACTGTTTGAACTTGAGTTATAATGTTCAACCTCCTTTTAGCTTTAGTTGTTAATACATGTGAAGGTATTTGGCAGATTACCAAACTCCATTTTTACTCTTATATTGGACATACCCATTTTATTGGCACTTTCCCTTTTCCTATGAAAATATTCTATTTTTCCCCTTTTCCAAAAAAGCAAAAGCCCCCTTTCAGGTCCAGCTGCCCTCTTGATCTACTGTAGTTTTCACTTTTCGCTTGAAGTTCATTTATTGCAAAACAGAAACAACCAAGGTAAAATGTTCCTTCAGAACTGCCCCGGCCCTCCTTTCTGTATCTGCTCTCTTTTCCTACCTGTGCCCACAGAGTATCTATCGTGATTAGCTCCGTGCCTCTCCCTTCTGAATCTAATTCATCTTTTCCCACCTTCTGTCCTGTTTACAGCTGCTAGTCTCCCTGGATGTTCCACTGTGAACTTAGAACTTTCATGTCCCCTTTGACACTTATCATCTTCTGATTTTCTGTTTCTGTTGATGGTTTCATTGACTTTCAAGTCTTGAGACATGGTACTTCCATTCTAAAGCCATTCCCATTCAGGCCTGCTAGCTTGACTCCCTCACCTTTATCTCTTTGTTTCTAGTGTTTGTCTTTTTCCCTTGCTCTTTATCTTCTCTTTAGCTGTTTAAGTTTCTCTCATTCTTATCTCAAATTAATCTTTCTTGCTCAGTACTTTGAAGAACTTTCTGTTACTTGGTGAATGAAATTCAGACTTCTCAACTTAGCATATGAGGTCTTTTATATCCTGGTCCTAGTTTATCTTTCTTTTCTTGTTCGCTGATTGATCTTCAGGTGCCCCTCACAGTTAATATGTCTGAATTTTTGCTCTTACTGTATTTTCTTGGATTTTCCTTTTGTGTCATCTTCTCATGCATAAGTTCTACAGATTCTCAAAGCTCCCCAACAACAGTCACCTTCATTAGTTAGTACCAGTCATCCTCTGATTCAAAGTAATTTTGTCTTTTTCCACATTCATGTTCTTTAGTTTTGAAAAGGATAAATAAGTAATAATTTTGCATCTTATCACTGTGACATTAAGGACTTATTTTGCCCATCTTGTAGACTGTAAGACAGTTCCAGGGAAATCTCTGTTTCATCTTTGTCCATAGCTCTGAGCACAGTGCTTTATGCATATTAGATAGCTAATAAATTTTTTTCAAATTAAAGAATACATATTAAAAATGTCTTAAATTCCCAGTAATTGCCAGTGTGTAACATAGTAGAAATTCAAAAATAATAAAAAGTTTCTTGAGGCACCTGGGTGGCTCAGTTGGTTAAACGTCTGACTCTTGATTTCAGCTCAGGTCATGATCTCACGGTTGTGAGATTTGAGCCCTCACATCGAGCTCTGCACTGATCATGGAGCCTGCTTAGGGTTCTCTGTCTCCTTTTCTCTCTGCCCATCCACCCCCCCCCCCCCCGCACTTTTTCTTTCTCCCAAAATAACACATTTAAAAAAAAGTTTCTTGATCTTTATTCCTCATCTTTCCTACATACACATATGTATTTCTTACATACACAAATATTTCCTGCATACATATATGAAAATAAGGTAACAAGGTAAGCAAGAGGAAACTAATACAGTGTTAAATTTGTATATATGATTTAATTTGTCATAAAAATCATGAAAAGAGTCCAATGAAATATTTCTTTTTTGAAGACTTTCATTTGATTCAATTTTTTTTCCTTTCGTTTATTTATTTTTTTTATTTATATATGAAATTTATTGTCAAATTGGTTTCCATACAACACCCAGTGCCTGTCCGCAAAAGGTGCCCCTCTCAATACACACCATCACCCACCCCTCTCCTCCCTCCCACCCCCCCTCCTAGTTTGTTCTCAGTTCTCAACAGTTCTAAGGTGCTGGTTCTCCTCATCTACCTTTTTTTTTTTTTTCCTTCCCCTCCCCCATTGGGTTCCTTGTTAGGTTCTTTCGATCCACATAAGAGTGAAACCATATGGTAGCTCTGTTCTTCTTTCTGTATGGTTTATTCCACTTAGCATCACACTCTCCAGTTCCATCCACGTGTCTACAAAAAGGCCATATTTCATTTTTTCCATCATTTTAAGAGTATTCCACAAATTATATAAACTTTGTAAATTCTTATCCATTCATCAGTTGATGCACATTTAGTCTTCTTCCATAATTTGGTATTGTTGAGAGTGTAAGGAAACATTAGGGTACAAGTCCCTATGCATCAGTACTGTGTTCCCTTGATAAATTCCTAGCAGTGCTATTGCTGGGTCGTAGGTCTGTTTTATTTCTGAGAACTCCACACTGCTTTCCAAGAGCGGCTGCACCAATTTGCATTCCCACCAACAGTGCAAGAGGGTTCCCGTTTCTCCACATCCTCTCCTCATTTGATTCAATTTTTAAGCAAAATTTTTAAGCTGTTACCTAGCCTCACACTGATTTGTGTTATAATTTTTTTTTTTTCCTAATGGGGAAAGTTTGACTCTTGTATTTATAAAAGCACACTTAATAAGACATTGGAGTTTTAATATCATACTTTTAGAGGAGAAATTATATTTCCCAAAGATTAAAAGTAGTACTTTGAACTATGAAGTTAACATATGGTATTAAATTATCCTGAGGGATGATAAAAAAACTAAAGGTGAACAAGGAACATAAGTGCTAGAAGAGAAACTCTAGCAATAAAAATATCTGCTTGAGGGGCGTCTGGGTGGCTCAGTCAGTTAAGCATCCGACTTTGGCTCAGGTCTTGATCTCATGGTTCATGAGTTCGAGCCCCGCGTCAGGTTCTGTGCTGACAGTTCAGAGCCTGGAACGAACTAACAAACCATTCTTGAGTAGTTAGAATCCCTTAGGAGATTGTGAACATATGGAAATCATACATTTTGACCGTGACAAAATGCTTATCATTTAATAATAAATTATTTGTCAGAGGTTAGCCATAGAATGTGTTATTTGTATGCAATGTTGTGGACAGGGATAATGCTATCAAGAGAAGGTAAGGCCTAAATATTCTTGCATGCAGTGAAAGGTCAGAGATCATCAGCACCTTATGTAATTGGGAGGATTAGAAAATTGTAGGTGTCAGAGTCTGAGACCCTATCTATACAAGTTCCATACCACTTGCTAGTGTGGAGCTGTTGGCATGGTATTGAATCTTGTGCTCAACTCTGTTAGCTGTTATGTGTCAGAATTAAATAATTCTGTTCTCAGTTGTGAACATGTAATGAATTTTTCTAATTCTCTTAAGTTTCTTAAATTGTGAATTTCAGTTAAGTGAAGGATGCCTTCTGCCTATAGGTGAAAATATTTCCAACACATTGACTGAATCTTAGGTATATTCCTGTGTTTTAAATAATAATTTAATCTAGAACGTACTGTTTATAGATAAGGAAATTGAGACCAAGTGAGGTTAGTGATTTACCAATATCACATAGGTAGTAAGTGATAAACATAGAACTAAATTGGTCCTTTATTATTATTATTTTTGTAGTTCTATATGGCCCCCCTTTGTTTAATTACAGGTACTTGTACATTTCTTAATTTGGTTTCAAGGATTCTCTTGTTCTTTGGAGGGTTAATTTTCTTACAGTTCTTTCAGAGACTCACATTACTTAACATTGTTCTGGCTGAAACAATTGTAGTTACTTTTTGGTGTTTCCTGCCACTTAGGAACTTGCACTGTGATGTGACCTTCTATTAAACTTGTCCTGTACTGATCACACCATTAGAAATTGGATCTTAGAATGGAAATCAAAATCTGGAGGCTTGAAAGTATGATTGGATCTTAATGACAGAATACAGTAAAGTTTACTAAAGATATGTTATCTATTATCAACTTAACATTTTGTATTTTAGGTGGAAATAGAGAAGCTGAAAAAAGCAGTCCTGTCTTCTTGAAATGGCATGGGCCCATGTTCTTAATGTTCCAGGGATTCAGAAGCAACACTATGAACTTCACCTGACTTGTTACTTAAAAATAACAAATGCTGATATCCTGATAAATATGAGTATTTGAACTATAATCTGTAGAAAAGTAGGGAGAGGGTGGATTTTTTTTATATATATTTTGTTTTGCCAATATGAAAAAAAAGAGGCCTTAATTCTCATGTGCTGGAATTGCAAACTTTTTTTTTTTTTTTTTTTTTTTTTTTTTTTTTTTAGTTTGCTTGAAAATACTACTGAATCTGTATAAAAAGGAAAGTTCACAATCGTTTTTTTATTGAAACTTGTAGTATTATTTTTAAAGAGATCTATACTATAAATATGGGGATATCTTTACAAATAATCTGTAAAATATACTATTTGAGAGGGACAAATTAGCTTTATAGTAACTATAGCCACTACTTTTCCCATAATATGTAAGGGATATAAACTTTGTATATATATTTTTTTTACTTTTAGCTTCTTACCCAGGATACACTGTTGTGCCTGTTTGTTTGCAGTGCTGTTTATACTCTGGGTGATGAAATAGGAGTTTCCTAGCTATAAACCAGATTACTCACCCATGCATATAGTAATAACTAATGAAATAATCAAAATAATTTCAACTTTTAGAATATTTTATATTGCTTGCACTATAGGATTCATAAAAGGAATTTAGTTAAAATGTATTGGATTGTTAACTATATTTGGGAAAATATGAGCTATATTTTAAAAAATCATTAGGTCTAAGGAACTAAAAATGTCAATTTAACCCTTAACTTGTGCCTAGAAACTACAGCACATATAATATGCAAACACCAGCCTTACTGCTGTACTTTCCTGCTTATTTTACAGGCTCAGATATTACTCATTTCATGATCTTGTGATTTACTTTTTCATGCTCCTCCCTCTGATTTTTAATAATGATAACACAAGGAGAACAAAACTAAGAACATTCAGAACTTCAGTGTGAGGTTTCATACTTTGACAAATTGTCATCATGTAAATGCTCAGGTTTTACAATGTGTAATTTACCTAAAAGACCAAACTAACTGGTGGAGATAGTTTAGGCTGTCATTTATAAAGGTACCAACTTTATAAAGAGTGTTAATATATTATTATTATATTAAGCTGTAACAGTACAGCTTATTTAAAACCAAATGTAGTTGACCATATTCAAAATGCATTTTGAATGCAAGATGGATGAATTGGTAGTTTCTTCAGAGTCACTTATGAACAGCTGAATGTTTTAAAATGTTACGTCTGTAGGTAATATGTCTTAAAATATGTGGGTTCATATTAAAAATAGAAAAATTGACTTTTCATTTGCAAAAAAAATTGATTTTCAGCTTTATTACACAACAAACACTTTGAGATTTTGAATACCACCTATCATGCTTCCATTTTGTGTTATTTTAAACCACCAAACCAAGATTTTGCCTTTAAGTTTTAATTTTATATACTGAAATCTTGTGTTAAATGAAATTTTGCCATGTTGTCTCGTATGAAAGAAAACTGAAGTAGAAAATAATAGAAATTCCATTAATTACTTAATGTTAAATTCACAACTTACATTAGTGCTTTTGGGGAAACCTGATTGTGCATTGATTGTGCATTGAGTATGTACATTTTAACTCTTGGAAGTCCTTGGGGTTTTCTGATGCGGTCACTACTGAACAAAATTGTTTACTCCTGTTCTAATGTTTTTAAATGACTTGTCAAATGAATGATTTCCTTCTTGCTAAAAAATTAGATTTTATTTTCTTTTAATGGAAGTCCTTAGGTAGAAATAAAAACATTGTATCCTAGAAATCATTCTCCAGCTTTCTGACTGGAAAATCTATTAAGTGACCCCTCCTCACCCTAATAATGGGCTGAAGGAAGTTTCCAGTAGATTTCAGGTCATCCTTAAAGTTTTTCTTGGTCATTTTCTAGTGCATAAAATGAAGATGGTCATGAATGCCGAAATACATTTAGAGTATTTGCTTTGTATACTCCTCAGTCAGAATAGAAAATTAAAATACTGTGTCTCTTTTAGAAAATTATTGTGTCTCTATTTTATTGCCATTGACCAAATAGTAAAGAAAAGAAAGCCAAACTCAAAGGGAAAAAATGATTACTTCAGTCTAGCAATTTACCAGTGTTTGCTCTTCTTATGGGGATTTTAGTATTTTTATTCATAAAGTTCATATCACAAAATGGTATGTAATGATAATAGCCTTTATTTGGCAATAAATCATTGTTTTTCCTGAGTGAGTATAAATGACAGACTAGAGATAAACAGCATGGAGTCTGTCATTGCCAAATTATTAGTGAATGTATTTTTCAGGTTTGCTATTTGAAGCGCATAATACTACTAATTTTCCTACTTGTATTTCAATATTAGGAGTATTGTGTGTGTGTGTGCTTGTGTGTGACCACTAGACTTTAGTGGTTTGGTCTTACTATAAAGCTGTTACCTCTTCACAAAATTTAAGTCTGAAGATAGGAAGAGAGAACGGGCCTCATCGAACAGAGTGTTCTCTTTTTTATGCTTCTTACTGTGATCACAGAAAAAAAAAACCCAAGTGCTCTCTTGATTTGTTGGTAAATGTTTTATGCTTGCATTTAAACTTGAAATGTATGAACAGAATGAGACAATCAGTTAAAATCAGAAATGAGAAGCGTTAAAAATTTAATGGCCTTGTTTTGCTGTAGCAATAAAATGACCAAGTGCAATGACTTGATTTAATAAAATCATCTTTTAAAAGTTGCTGCTATGAATATTTTTAGCCATAAAATTTTACCCTTGTTTTAGCCTGACTTGCCTTCAGTAACTATAATGTAATGCAGTTGGTGTTGTGGTATTCTAACATTCCAAAAAAATAAAAATAATATATATGTGGGGAAACTCAAAATAGTATACTTCACTGACTTGTTTACAGGTGCTGTAAAAAAGCATGCTACTCCCTCAAAGAGAAAGACAATAAAGAATAGTATTGCCAGTTGTGTCGGTCTTTACTGGTTATTTTTCATTAACATCAGCATATTTTTATTGCACAATATGATGGAAATTCTATTAGGTTGAGTTTTCCAATAGAAGAAACCATGCAAATGGTAAAATGGAAGCATTAGAAGTTCTAGACCTATTTGACTTTTACTGAATCTTTGTGGTTCTGTTTTTCCCCTGAAACTGTGAGATAGTAATTTCTACCTCACAGGTTTATTGGGAGAATTTGAAATGATTTATCTAAAGTATGTTAGAGAATACTTGGCATTGAGTAGATTAAAAAAAAAAAAAAGTGGAAGCTTGTACTCTTCTCAACAGCATTTAACAGTGATATGTATGATGACAATTAGACAGCTAAGATTAAAAGAAAGGAGGCATAGTACTTACCCATCCTGTGCTGTTTTTGAGTCCAGCATCCCTTTTTCTTGGGGAAAGATAACTCCTTACATTTGCATTATATTGAAATGAAACTGCTCCCATCCTACAGATTCTGCCTTCCTGACCACCAGGGAGGTGATTGACCCAAGGGAGAGTACTTTGCCCAAATTGAATTACTGACTCAGACAGATTTTTTAAATTCGGAATTTTTTGTTTGTTTGTTTGAAACAAGAAGCACTGCTCTCTTAGTTAAGTCTGTTATCTGGAAAAAGCTGATTTGAAAGAACAAATCTTAATAGACCATAAAGAGAAAGAAACAATCCAGAAGGATTTTAAAGCATTCTGGTCCCAGCTATCCATCCACTGCTGGATTCCTTAAGCATAAATTTGCTCATAAATATTTTTGGTCTTCTGAACTCATAACTGGAAGTCCTGGTAAAAATAAAAAAAGAAGAGTCCTGAAGACATCAAGGCCGATGTCCTCTTGCTGAAAATACACCACGCACATGCCTCTAGCTTTTTAGAATCCGCTGGAAGATTTGAATCCTCGAAAAGGAATAAGACACCACGATGAAGTCCTATAGAAAAAAAGCTGTGGCAAGTCATTTCAGTTAAAATTTTATTTTGAAAACTACATGCTTCTTACTGGTCTTTATAAACACTGGGCATAAATTAAGCTTTACAAGCACAGGATGGTGAAGTTTTGGATTACAGAATTTTTTTTTTTTTAATTTTTTGGATAATAGAATTTTTGTATTTGAAGGGACATTGAAGGGGTTGGATAATCCGATGCCTGTGCATATGGTTTTGTATGAAGACACAATTGCACATTTAGTCTAATTCTAGGAAATAAATGCAGACAGCAGTTTAGTTTAACTGAAATGGATCTACTTGGTGTTGTTACTTGCCAATTAAGATTTAGAGAGTAGACTGGGTCTTGATGTTAAAATTTTTGAATCCTAACCACTATTCCTTTTGTGACTAACACCTTTATTGTGAATATGCTTGTTGTATATAGGAAAATAAATTTAGAAATAGGTATCAATATTTTTTGTATAGAGCCAATAGTCTTTTCTATCACAGAAGGTGTTGTGGTTTTCATTTTGCAACTATTGGGTGGTATTCTTTCCTATCGAGTTACAAGTGGTTTTTATTAGCCACATTTCAGTTCCTAAAAAAGATGTGTGAATAAAGTTATTAAAAGTAAAACTCATTTTTTAAGTGTACTGAGTAACTTAAGTCTTCAATAAGGAAATCACTTTTTAACATTTCATGGTATATAGTGTGTTTTTAGTAATATTCCTCAAACATTAACTCAACAGAATGCAAATACAATATATGACAGAGTAATGACATTTTTATTCATCTCCCTTGAAACTAAAAACAAGTACGTTGAAAATTAGATTTAATAGATTAAAAAAGAGATGTAAAATAAAAAGTCACTCTCCAGTAAGGAAACCATCACAATTTATAATAAATTACCTCCCAGGGGCGCCTGGGACTTAAGCAGCTGACTTTGGCTCAGGTCATGATCTTGCAGTTCAAGAGTTCCAGTCCTGCATGGGGCTCTGTGCTGACAGCTCAGAGCCTGGAGCCTGCTTTGGATTCT